CTGTAGGGGGGGGGGGGGGGGGAAGGGATATGCTTACGGTGGTTTCTTTAAGCAAATGTGAGGTTTTTGGGTTATGCCCTGGAAGACAATGGAACAATCTGTGGTGGTCGTGTGTGTGTTTTTTTCCCAGAAGAGGACATGGTGATTTTGTCCTAATCTTGGGTATGTATGCTACAAATTTGAATTACTGAAAGAGCTGTAATCTCTGCCGGTGTTCGTGTAACCTCGAAGAATCTCCATTGTGTTGTGTTCCCATCGGACACAGAGTTTCATTAATTTTGTAATACAATTTCAGTTACTGTTCTCTCTCCTCTCCAAGACAAGACAGTGGAAACTCAGGAACAGCTGATGGATCTGAGATGGGTCTGGATTAACGTATGGGTCTGGGACATTAACCAAGAAAAACGGTCCAATATATTCTCTATATATTACAAAGTAATTATCATACAATAAGATGGCATCACTTACAATCTTTCCTTTTTGGAACTGTTTTGAAAATATAGATAATAACCACATTTGTTACAAAATAAACATTCCATTTGAGGGGAAAAAACCCATGCTTCTGACTTGTTTAAGAGTAAAACAAGTACTTATTACCTCCGGGAAAAAAGAATGTCTCAAAGTGATAAGAGTACACACATTCACAAGACTGTAATTAAAAAAAACAGTAATCAGTCCACATTTGGACAGTCTTAAAAGACAGAAGAAGAAGACTTAATCGGCTTGTGCTTCAGACTATGAGGGGCAACCTGGTCGGGGTATGATTCTTTTGCAAGAGGGAAAGAAGCAGAATGCTCATTTTATTGCCTGACCTGTTTCACCATCTGAAGAAAGAATCATATGCAGCATATGAAGATTGGGATGAAGCCTCTACTTCGACTGCAATATGATGGGCTGTTCTCCTTCCAGCTCCGATATAACTATCAACGAATCTGTCATTGCTAAGTCCAGGGCTTCCATCTTCGGTACCGGATTGATTACCTGTTTTTTTGTTGGATACATGGAATGGGGTTGTGAAGAACGACGAGGGATTAAACTTATGTGAGGAAGGGACGGATTTATACCTTCTTGTTGCCTTTGATGTATCCTATAGCGACTTCTTTCCTTAGCCACGCCCTCTCCGAGAGCTCAGCAAATGAGGGTTTCTCGCCCTCTTTCATGTACAGCTTTATGTCCTGCCTCGTCCAAAACATAGAAAATGAAACCACAGCAACAATGATTCTCCTCCATGGATGCTCAAAATCAAGTTACTAATATAAAAGATGAGATAACTTTGGATTTCTTGATGTGATGAGAGTACATTTGTAGCTAAAAGTTGGGTGATTCTTAGTATATATTCTGTGGCAAAAGCTTTGGGAAGAGTCGTTTTACCTTTACATATATTTCGTCACCCTCTGCGTTCAGTATGTCCTTCCACACTTCGCTCAGTTCACTGTTTTCCGTCACTGATACAAAAACGGGCACTGTGTTAGAATTCAAGCATGCGCAAGAAAGGAAATGCCGATAAATCTTACCTTGTGCTGTGACAAGACTCATCACTTCCTCTGCTGCGATATAAGTCAGTGACGGTTTGATTCTTGTTATCTGCATTGTTTTGCAAATGTTTACTCTCAATGTAATTCTTTTCCGGAACAGAAAGAATTCGGGTTTCAAAATTTTTGAGGCAGGCATGTGTTTACCTGCTTCCCAAGTTTCGAGTCAACAATTTCGGCGGCTAAATTTTGTACCTGCAGAAGATAAACATCGGTTTGGGCTGGGGGTTTTGACAATTATCATCACTAGCAGCGATATGAACGTGAAAAGCATATGTACCTTCACACCAAGTTTATTGCAGATACTCTCCGCGAGCAGAAGAGAGTAAGCAGATTGCTTGTCAGCCCTGGACGGATCTAAAGACAACAAAACATCAGTTAGCACAGAACTGCAAACTGGAAAGCATGGAATTTAGAAAAATAATTCATGTCTCGTTACCTCCAAGAAGCCAGTCTCTATCGGATATTACAAGGATGGATAAAGGAATATCTTCACCTTTCCTGAACGAACTTTGAACATGCATGATAGTTTCCTTTAACGTGTCATAGTTCATAGGATTTCCAACCTGCAGACGAGGAAAAGATTGCAAGTTATAACAGAACGCGCTCTGTTTTCCTCATTTTGCTGTCTCTAGAAAATGTATAGAAGACAATGCTGTTTATTCAGTTTAGAATGATATTATTACCCTATGAGAAACATGGACGTTTCTAATTTTCCCTAACCTGAACCATTGTCTGATTTCTTCCTGTCCTCTAACGGTACATCGGATAATATCTCCTGAAAGTAAACAATCAAGACTGTCAGAACAATATCAGCTATTAACTAAGGGGAACAGAAAATAGTATGGACATATACCAATACACTGCCTGGGCCAAGATAGTTGTCAAACTCTTCAATCATCTGAACAACATCTCTTCGCCAACCAAGCAAAAGTATGCATTCTTTAGGTCCTTTGCTCAATTCTGATCCCTGCACCAATCAAACAAATAAAGATCAGAGATCTCAGTATACCGACACACCCATATAGTAATTTTAGCACATCCTTTTTTCGGAGGTTGGAGTGAGCCTAGCCACCAGACCTTTGATTTGGGCTTACTAGGACGCATCATAATCTTCTTTAGTCGAGCTCTTTTTGCCTCCAAGACTTGCTTTTGAGAATCACTATCATCGTTTGCAACTTTTTCATCTTTGGTTTCTGTATATGAGAGTTTCTTCTTTCTCCAATTGAGAGGTGCAATAAATAATACTTTGTCGGTTTCCAGGAGTGTTTCTCCGTCACTTGGGTGGAAATTTACTTTCCCATTTCGTAAAAGGCCACAGACTACAACCTGAAAGGAACACATGCAGAGGATGAATTCGACTACAAAGCCCACATGGGAATCATTTTGAAACATTTCTTACGTTGGCAAGAAAGTGTTCGCACCTCTTGAAAACCCAGTCTTAACTGCCGATAAGTCATCCCAGCTAGATCAGGAAAGCTGCACATGTTAAATACATTTTCTGCAACAAATAAACCAGGTAATAATTAGTATTCCAAACCAAAGGTGAGATACAATGTTAACAGGAATATATGCATTCAAACAAATCATAATACGTTATAGTGGAAACGGCACAGTACTTGAATAATTTAGCAAGTGTCTGTAGATCTTTACAAGGCCCTTTTGACGCGAACATTGAACAAACAACTTAGATGTAAGATTTTCAACTGGCTCCACTTTAAGCCCCGAAATGGACTTGAGGAGATCGTATGTATTAGAACTTGACACCTGCATTCATTTCCAAAAGCAAGGAAAAGCGAAGAAAAAGGATTACCACTACAAAACATGATGCATTAAAGCTTAGTCTTAACAGTTACTGATATACCTCAACAATGGTGGGAACAGATTCCATATTTGGAATAGGTTGAAGGGCTAATACAGAGAGAAATGCATCTGTATCAACTTCATACCTGGAAAAGTTTTTAAGTTGGTCAGTTTCTCTTTTATAAAAGATTAGGATACAATATTACAGACCAGAGGGCAAGTGTTGCCTCTGTTAACTTTATAGCTTTCTTCTTACCGATCACCTTTTGTTGGAAGTATGATAATGGCACGTGCTTTATCAGCGGCAGCTCTCTGAAATGATTTTGTCAGGTTAAGACTACAACTGCACATGCAATAGCATGGAATCAGCAGGCTAGCTAACTACAAATCAACATTAAGTTAAATCATGAAATGAAGCAAAACAGCTCGTTTTACTTCTGACTGGAGAACATGTCCGCCACTTTACCTCTTCGTAAGAATGTCAATATGGTTAAAATCTTTTGCAAACGTCTCTGCTAGCTTGTCTATCTGCTTCCTCGGAATATCCGACATCAGAAGAATTCTCTGCTTCCTTTAAGCACACAACAAAGAAAGTAATTCAGCAAGTCAGCATATACACAGAAAACAAATTATAAGGCATGAAAAGAACAAATTACCTAGCTGTAGCAGTACCTAAACGGACAGCATACTCGTGATATCTGTTCAGTTGCTTCAGTATGAAGGTCAAATGACTGTTTATTCCACAAATGATGATATGATCAGTTTCTAGGACTTGCATTTGTGCCCCCTCCCTCAGCCTTTGCATATTATTCTGCCCAGAAAATCTATTAAGAATGTGAATCGAGTGACACTACTCCTAGCCATTAGGATCTATATCGTGGACTTACCCTAAACTGTTCTGTCATTGTACTCAAAAGTCGAGAGTAGAACAATATTCCCCATATGGCTAGAACAAACCCGATGACTCTCTCAACGCGTGTCCTTTGCTGCAGTTTTCACGTATATATGCTTTTAGTGGCAAGAGTTTACATATGGATATCGTGTGGGACCTGTGGGTTCGTACATGAGACACAATAGTATCTTACACATCAAATAAGAAGCAAATCATCACCTTCAGGTGAGTAGATGATGAAATGAGACAAGCCCATGCCTCCCAGAAGCAGTCTTCTATGGGCTGAGTTTTTTTCCTGCAAAACAAGCAGGCAATACCAGAATGTATGAATATATATATGCTCATGAAAGTACATCATGGAAGAATGTCCATAACGTGGGCCAGCATCTTCCCTCTCTTACTCATCATCGTCATCAGTTCATTAGTTTACCATTTACTTTGATCTACCAAAGATCTCCATGTGTGACAAGAAAAATATATATCTTTCTTTCTCTACTATAACTCTTGTGAAGATTAAACCAAGAAAAAGCAACTTAATTGCCATTCTAGCGTTTCAGAAAGTAACAGCTATGATAAGCATATAAAGATATAACATGCAGAAGGCTACAAATAGAGAATTCTATTACCTTTAATTTACCTGAATTGGAAAAACAAGAGACCGCCAATTACGACAAAGGATATGCATGCCATCAGGAGCACCACGAGAAACCTAAATTAGCCAGGAAAAATTGTCAGATTGGATGTCGTATTTACAGGAAAGAATTTAACCACATTTATAAAAAAAAGTTATATAAGGAAGGAATAATCTATAGTTAAAATGTGGCGAATCCAACCCCCACCCCCATTAAAGTGTTGGAAAAGGAAAGTTGCGATAAATTTCTGCATGCTAATTGCTTCCATTTAACAACATTTGTACATACAAATACCCAAGGCATGAAGAAGAGAAGCTAGTGCCCCTACTCAGATGATTAGCTTGTTTGCTTACGTAGCAATGTTCTTCTCGAGCTGAATATTGAATAGGTAAAGCAACCTTGCAAGATTCCATTTGAGATCGTGAAAAGAAGGAAAGCACACGTCCAACTTGAGAGGGACTGGTTTATTTAAAGAGTTGGATGCACAAGCAAAAGGCAATCCAGCACCCACAGAACTGTGAATGAAACGAGGAAGTAACTCCTGGACCATCTTTTCAACTGTTCTGAACAGGAGATACAATGGCAGTGATCCAATCACAAATTTATATTGATGAATCTGCACATAAAAGAAGATCTATAAAGCAAGCACTACAAGATACTATCCAGAGAATTAAGCAAGAAGAACGACACATAAAAGAAAATAGACGATACCATGGAGATAAAGTAGGTGCTAAACTTAAATGTCCATTTCGCTAGAACGGATATGTACTGGGAATTTAAGATATAGACCCTAGGAGAAAAGAAATACTACAAATGATCTCAACTCATGGCATACGCTACGACCTCCTTAAACACGGGGAGAGCCAGATTTTTCAACCGATTCCCCCATGCAGTACAGATAAGTAACGGTAAAACAGAACATGAATCTACTTCAAAACATATGACAGAAGGCAATACTGTACATCAGATCAAACAACATCAGCGGTAAGAATCATAGCACTTGTTATTCTTGAATAAAAATAATAGTAGGTTTTGGCTTGTGTTATATATATTACACAACTCAGTAACCACCTGAAAGATAACCTGTGGCTCCACGGCATTTAATTTGGAGAAAGAATCTTGGGGTAAAGCCTGGCTGGTGCTAGTCTGCATCTTGTCTCCTGTCCTTTGTAAACTGACTTTAATTTCCCCTGCTATACAGAAAATGATAAGCCAGAGGAGCACAATTTAAACTATGGGAGAACGGGAACACTTCGAGCCTAAAGATTCGTCGAAATTTGGATATAGAACAGTGATTTTCATAGCAAATCTCGTATTTGGAAAGGAAATATCTTCTCCAAAACCGCACCTCGGTGTCTATAAGTCTTAAACCCATGCAGAGGCAAAGCGTGTAGCCACAAACTCCTGCAAAACAAAGTACTATTTTCAAACGTATTAACCAAAATACCTAAATCTAGTTCAAATCTTCACAGATGAGCAATCGAACAGTACCTCCCTCAACGTCATTATACGTCAATCTCAAGATAAAGATAATCCCTTTTACAATGACTATCAGTCATATAGAAGACTAAGAATTTGAACCCCACGTCAATGTCCCATGAATAAGAAACCGTAAAACGATAAACCCATCGGTAGAAAACCCAACGTTTAACACAAATTAGCAAAACCCCAAACTACGTATTAGCATCGGTAACCTCAAACTAAACCTAATCCCAGATTCAGCAATTTGCATCAAATTCCAAATAAGAAGTGCCATCATCGATTCCCTAATCAAAACCATTGCAGAAACCCCCATTTTGACAATTTCAGTATACAACTGCTACATCCGGAAAAAAAAGCCCTAAACAGACTGAAACAAACGTAAATCTTCGACCATAAGTCTCAGAGTCAATCTCCGCCTCAGAAGAAGAAGAAGTAGAAGAAGAAGAAGAAGAAACAAAGAAGAAGAACCGAACCTGTTGGGAGATGGGATCCGATTCACTCTGGAAACTCGTGAAGGTAGTAGCATCGAAGGCCGCCAACTCTGCAACTGAACACCCACCATCTCTCTCCCTCTCTCTCTCTCTCTGGATTTTGCTCCGTCGGATCTCGAGTCTCAATATATATATACGCCTACATAGATACATACATATGGATGGACACGAGATGTATAGATTCGCATTTCCCCCGAGCGGAAAGAGACGCCATTTTCCTTTGCTTCTTTTTCGCTTTTGTAATAATTAATAAATATTTTTTATTATAGACTATGAACATTGGATTACTGGAATAATTCATTATACAATTTCAATAAAAAATTAAATCCACGTCATTTTAGATTATGTTCCAATTATGAACTTCAGTTTTAACTACTACCTTTAATTATTTGTTCCATTTGCTGCCTTCAACTTTTTTATTCTTACTTGAAGTTGATATACTAGTAAGTACTATATTCCCAGTTTATTTTATGAAAAATTTATTTCAAGTATTGCTATTGAAATATAAGTTGCCTGCAGCATTTTGAGATTTCGGTGCCTTTATTTCAATGGACGATGTTGGTTTTAGTGAAATTTGAGAGGACCAAATAATTTTAAAAAAAAAAAAAAAAAGATAAGAACAATGGATGTGGAAGGGTAAGGCAATGGAGTGTGGTGGTGCAGAGCACGTGCTCAAATTGCAAGTGATGCGCCTCAGTGGAGTTCTCTCTCTCTCTTTCGTATATAACCACCACTCTCAATCTCAATGGAGCGTTTTTCTTGTAGCGTGACGTCCAGTTATCATTACCAAACCACTTTGGAGATCTATGTGGTGTAACACTACTAAGTTATGCACGCATATATATACACACATACATAGATGATAGATATACATGGAAGTGTAAGGTCTCGCAACTCACGGGCTTCAGACTTCAGTGTAGAAGAAGAGGCAGAGACAGAGAATTCTAGAGTGTGGTGGTGCAGAGCACGTGCTCAAATTGCAAGTGATGCGCCTCAGTGGAGTTCTCTCTCTCTCTTTCGTATATAACCACCACTCTCAATCTCAATGGAGCGTTTTTCTTGTAGCGTGACGTCCAGTTATCATTACCAAACCACTTTGGAGATCTATGTGGTGTAACACTACTAAGTTATGCACGCATATATATACACACATACATAGATGATAGATATACATGGAAGTGTAAGGTCTCGCAACTCACGGGCTTCAGACTTCAGTGTAGAAGAAGAGGCAGAGACAGAGAATTCTAAGCAAATGCAAATGGAGGAAAAGCTGAAATGAAAGCATCGACCATTTAACAAGAAAAACAACAAATCCCCTTCTCCTCGAACTTATGAGATCCATACTTGAACTCCTCCTGTAACCTTCTAAGCCTTTCTCCGACATGATATTCGAAACGGAATCCGGAACTCAAAATCGAAGAAGCTGGTTAAGAATCTTACAGGACTGGTGCTGTTTGTGCCCGAACTGACCGATCGTATCCTCCTTGACGTCCGGTTCGATCTCCGACAATCCAGCCACCGCGACCTCGATCTCCGACATAAATTCCGGTAAGATTTGGCGTTCGGGGAGTAATCGACGACTCTGATCAGAAACCCTAAACCCCGAATTTCGATTCGATAGAGGGAGAGAGAATCGTGACCGTTGAATTTATCGCCACCTGTTCTTTTTGTGCGACGCCCTGCTGCCAAGGCAAAGTGATCACTGGATACTGCCTGTCGTACAATGAGATGCACGAATCAGAACAAGACACGTGGTGTTATAATTTTGACTCTGTCGTATTGACTTCTCTTCCTTTGGTTGGTCAATGCTGCCACGTGGACTTTGCTAAGAATATCTAACACGCTGCTATCGTACTATGACGAACTATGCCAAAAACTTTATTGAATATTTGTAACAACAAACAACAGAAGAATAGAACATTTTCCTCAGAAGGATATATCATTGTGCCATGAAGAGACAATCTCATCCAGCCCTCTCTTCAGCTCCTCCCACTCTTCTTCTTCAATGTCTCCTTCCTCAACCCTAACCTCCGCCACCGCATTCTCCACCGGAATCTTAACTGCTTCCACCACTACCACCGCCGCCTCCTTCCTCAGCCTCGCCGCAGCTCCTCCTCCCTTCCCTCTGCTCTCTTCAGCTCTGTACCCTAACTTCCCCCCTATTTCCCTCACTCTTCCCATCACTTCCTCCGCCTTAATCGCCGCCGTGAACCTCTTCCCTCTCCGACTCTTCGCCTCGAACATTCCGGAGAGATCCAATCCCGACGACAGCGATATTATGTCGAACGCGTTTGCCGTTACGATTTCGAATTTCCCAGAATTCGACGACTCCGTCGTATTCTGTTTCTCCAGATGTCTTTTGAACCATCGCGTTTGCATTACCTCTTCGAGGCCGATTCTCGTTCCTGGATTCGGATCCAACAGTTTGAAGATGATCGATCGGGTCGACTTCCGTATCGAATCTGGGAATTTAAAATCTCTTCTGCGGATCATCTGGTACATCACCACGACGTTATCATCTCTGAAGGGAAGGAATCCGGTGAGGAGGCCGAAGAGGATGACTCCACATGACCAGGCGTCGGCCTTCGCTCCGTCGTAGCCCCGCCGCTCGAACACCTCCGGCGCCGTGAACGCCGGCGTCCCGCACGCCGTATGCAGGAGTCCGTCGTCCCGGAGCGATTCCTGAGACGCCGAGAGACCGAAATCGGAGACCTTAACGTTCCCGTCTCTGTCGAGGAGAATGTTGTGAGGCTTGACGTCTCTGTGAGAGATGCCGTTCTCATGGCAGAATCTCAGCGCCGAGACCAATTGCTGGAAATACCGCCCCGCCATTGTTTCCGTCAATCTCTCGCCGCAGCGTCGGGCGAGCTTCGACATGAGATCGCCGCCGCCGGCGAATTCCATAACGATGTAGATCTTCGTTTTCGTTGCCATTACCTCGTGGATTCGGATGATGTTGGGGTGGTCCTTGAGACGGCGCATGGCGGAGATCTCGGCGAGGATCATCGGCTCTTGATTACAGGCGTAAGCGGATTTCTCCTTGTCGATCTGCTTGATCGCCACGACGGAGCCGGTCTCCACCGACCTCGCCTCGTGAACCTTCGCGAAGCTTCCATGACCGAGAAGTCGACCGATCCGATACCTACCGAGGAGGGTGGTCCCAGTCGCCGGAGGCTGCGGCAGAGCCTGAATCGCTGACACCATCGTCGCCACCGGAGGCGGAGGAGATATCGGGTATGGCACTGTTCACTCAAAAGGGTTTTGGTGAGTTTTTATAGTCTCGCAAGTGTTTCAAATCGAAGTGGGACACCGTTGCCACGTAGAACACTAACTATATTTTTGTTATTCCAATTTTACCCTTTATACCCTTCCTCTTTTAGCAAATTATACATTGTTCACTAACGTACAAAGTTTGTAAAATACACCTTCCCAAATTTATTAGAACAAAATTGATAAAATATTTATAATGATAATGGTCACACATTTTTTTTCTTTTTATGCATATAATATTGAAACTTTGCTTTGTAGAGTGGATATTCTCAATTTATAAGTTTTTGTTTGGGTTTGGCAATATCGTACCTCGAGGAATATTCCCCTTTTTCAGCTGTTGTATATATATATATATATATTTTTTTTTTTTGGGTTAAAACCCCTAAAAAACCTCCAATTTACAAAAATATATACAAATAAACTTTCAACTTGAAAAACTGTCATTCAAATCCCCGAACTTGTAACTTGTCACTGAATAAAACATCGAACTTATAAATTATTGTTCTAATAAACCTTTGACCGGTTTGACCACAATTTCAAACGATCCGAAATCCACGTATTGACGGATTGCTGATGTCATTTTTTAAATTAAAATTGATAACGTGTATAAGGTGACATCAGCAATCTGTTAATACGTAGATTTCCGATCGCCTGAAATTGTGGTCAAACCGGTCAAAGGTTTATTAGAGCAATAATTTGCAAGTTCGAGGTTTTATTCAGTGACAAGTTACAAGTTCGGAGATTGAATGATAGTTTTTCAAATTGAAAGTTTATTTGTATATATTTTTGTAAGTTGGAGGTTTTTTAGGGGTTTTACCCTTTTTTATTAGAACCTTTTTTTTAGTTTAAGGAATGTAGTAAATTTTCTTTTATATATAAATAAAAAGTATGCCCATTTTGTGTTTCTTTATTTATAAGTTTTTCTTAAATTAAGAAAATTCTTCATTACAGCAAAATGTTTGAAGATTACTTGATCGAGTAAAGATTTCATCCTTTCCTACCAATAGAACATACAACAAAGTACAATATATTAATTTGGAAGCCCAAAACAAAAATCATATAGACATGGACTCAAAATAAGTACGGTCCACGGCAGTGCTGATCCCACATTATTCGTAAATATCAATTTATATTTTCGAGAAGTTCATGTAAATAACTTACTGATTAGCCCATTTTCATTATATATATATATAATTTACGGCCCAATAACTGCCCCAACCCACATTTTCATATTTTGGGCCAAATTGGGCCATTGGTCTAAATTCATTTAATTTATGGGTTCAATCTTGCACCTGTATGCTTAGATTGTTATATACATTTTCAACGGATAATTTAATTTTAACGTTTTAGTTACTGTTGTATATATATATAGTTGATTAAGACTAATATTAATTATGCAAGTATATATATTTTAATAAAACTAAATTAACATCTTTTTATTTTTCCATCATTTTATTTTATTAGTATTTTCTAATAATTTTGTTTTGGATCCAGCTTTGTTAGTGCAAAGTATACATGCAAGAATCAGAATATATATATATATATATGTATGTGGTGGTTATTAAATGATATTGCAGACATGGAAACAAGGGCATGAACCTCTGCACATTGGATCGAGTAATTACAGACAAAGCACTTGATGAGATTAGTACAAATGTTGGAGCAATTCTTTATTCCTTTGTAGGTTTGTTATTGGCAGAATAGCATAGGCTCTGTAAGTAGCCTTTTTCGTTTCCGTTTCATACATTTGTATATAAAAAAGAGCCTCATGTACAGAAGAAAATATACAAGGAGAAAATTTCTAAAATCTCTCTGCTCTCATCTTCTTCCTCTGTCCTTCGTGAGTTCTTCAATGGTGAGCAAACTGAGTTTTCTTCAACACCAAAATGGTATCAGAGCATAACCTATCCGCTGTTCTTCTTTTTTCTCCCTTTCCTTCTTTTCATTAACTCACTTTTCTCCGTTTTTTTTTAAATCCTAAACAAAACCCTATTTTCAACCCCTTTTCTATTTCTTCTTCGATTACCCTTATCTCCTCACCATGGCTGAAACCCCACCGACCCCTGCTTCGCCATCTTCTGCAACCATCTCGGGTAACACACCTTCACCTCTATCCCAAGATCCATACTCAAATCCCCTTTTTCTCCACCCAGCCGACTCTTCAAATCTGACCCTTGTCTCTGATAAACTCGTTGGTGAATCCAACTACACCCTTTGGTCCAGATCTGTTGTTAAAGCCCTAACCACGAAAAACAAACTTGGCTTTATTCTTGGTACCACTTCCCAGCCCTCTGATACTCATGCTGATTTTGGTTCATGGCTGCGATGCAATGCCCTTGTTTGCACGTGGCTCAACAACTCGGTTTCTCCTGAAATTGCCAGCCAAATCATGTTTATCGATGAGGCTTCCACGATCTGGACAACTCTTGAAACTCAGTTCAAACAGAAGAACGTTTCAAAGATTTTCAGTATTGAGCAGAAGATTGACAGTATTCAGCAAGGTTCCATGGATCTTCACTCCTTTTACACAAAACTCAACTCTCTGTGGGAGGAGTTGAAGAACTACGAGCCATACCCAGTTTGCACATGTGGAGGATGTACCTGTCAAGCCGGTACAAAGATGGTCGAACTCTTGGACAGGAAGAATGTGGTCAAGTTTTTGATGAAGCTCAATGAAACTTTTCATCCAGCTCGTCGGCAGATTCTCCTTCAAGAACCATTACCGAGTCTTTCTAAGGTCTACAACATGGTTCTTCAAGAAGAACATCAACGCCAGAGCTGCCCTTTACCAACAGACTCTCCAGTCTTTCAGGTTTCCACTCAGACACATTCCAGACCTCGCTCTTTCAACTCCTCTGCTGCCAAGTCTCGCCCAGTTTGTTCCCATTGTGGCCTTACTGGTCACACGATTCAACGTTGCTACAAGATCCATGGCTATCCACCCAACTCCCGTTCTGCATCTTCGGGTCCCTCACAGTCTTGGAGAAACAGGGCTCCTTTATTGCCAACCCCGGCTAAACCCACTCCATTTGTGAACCTAGTGAAGACTGATACGTCCATTCCTCCTTCTTCTGGTTCTGAGAATGCTTCCAGCACCTTGACACAGGCTCAGGCACTGTTCGAACAGTTTCAGTCACAGCTCAGACAACTTGGCAGTTCTTCTTCGGATCCAGGTTTAATGGCTTCAACCATACCTTCAACTTCCACTTTACCATTACTAGGTACATCTCTACCCGCTTCTTTATCCACTATACAATCCTGCCTTACTTTTCCTCATTCCTCCTGGATTTTAGATACTGGGGCTAGTAATCATATTTGTTGTGATGCTCGACTGCTCATTGATGTTCGATCCATTGATCCCATTTCTGTCACTCTTCCCACTGGCACTTTACTCTCTGTTAATCAGTCTGGCACTGCCATTCTGTATCCTGGTTTCAAACTCACCTCAGTTCTTTATATTCCTTCGTTTCACTTTAATCTTCTCAGCATTAGTGCCTTACTTAAAAATTATCCATACACTGTCTCTTTTTCTTCTAACTCTTGCATCATTCAGGACCCTATGCGGGACTTGATGATTGGGAAGGGTGAACTTCGACAAAATCTATACATTCTGGAGATGCAACCTCCCACCACTCCAGCATCTCCTGTTCCCCCATCTTTATGTATAGCCATTACTTCAACCGACGTTGATCTCTGGCATCAACGTCTCGGACACCCCTCACACGTTCGTATTCAGCGTCTTCACAGCTCTTCTCAGCTGCATTTTGTCCCCTCCACTTCAGCATCAGAACATTGTCCTGTTTGTCCTTTGGCGAAACAGAGACAGACTTCTTTTCCCACTGGTGGTCATTTTTCCTCTGCTCCTTTTGCGTTACTTCATCTCGATGTATGGGGGCCATTTCATTTTCCAACTGTAAATGGTCACCGTTACTTTTTCACACTCGTAGATGATTGTACAAGAACCACCTGGGTTTATCTGATGCAATACAAAAATGAGGTTTTGTCTAAGTTTCCACAGTTTCTCTCTTATGTTGAGACTCAATTTGAAACCAAAGTCAAATCGATCAGATCTGATAACGCATCTGAGTTATCTTTTCCGACATTAATAGCACAAAAGGGCATTCAACACCAATTTTCATGTCCCTACGTTCCCCAACAGAATTCCGTGGTTGAGAGAAAGCACCAACACATTCTTAATGTGGCTCGTGCTCTGTTATTTCAATCACACATCCCTCTTTCCTATTGGGGAGACTGCATCTTAACTTCAGTTTATCTCATAAACAGAACCCCTTCACCTGTTCTTCAAAATCAGTCACCTTTTGAAAAGCTCACAAATACAAAACCCTCTTATAGTCATTTACGTGTCTTTGGATGCCTGTGCTATGCTACCACAAACACTAAAACGAGGCACAAGTTCTCTCCCCGTGCTTCTCCTTGCGTCTTTATTGGATATCCTCCTGGGGTTAAAGGATATAAACTTCTGAATTTAGACAGCAATGCTGTGTTTATATCCCGTAATGTTGTTTTTCATGAGTCTATCTTCCCTTTTAAAAACAATCCTTCAAAACCCCTCACTTCTCCTGAGTCTCCTTCTCCTGTATCTGAACTTCCAGTTCATTTATATGATCCATTTATTGATTCTGTCACTGATTCCGTTTCATCTACACCTTCTTTACCAACTCCTTCCTCACCTTCTTCTTCTTCCTCTTCTATTTCTTCTCATCCAGTTTCTTCAGAACATCATGAGCAGCTTAGGCAGTCAACACGGATTACAAAAGCCCCTAGCTACCTTTCTGATTACCATTGCTACCTATTACAGAATACCACAAATCCCCCACCTACAAACACAACACACCACCCTTTATCATCATATCTTTCTTATTCTAAACTTCAACCCACATATCGACCTTTTGCCTTATCTATACTTCTTGAACCTGAACCTCACTCTTTTAGCCAGGCCATTAAATCTGAAACCTGGAAGACAGCTATGAGGTCTGAGCTTGCTGCTCTGTCTCGTTCTTGTACCTGGGATATCTGTTCATTGCCTGCTAACAAGAACCCCGTTGGTTGCAAATGGGTTTTTAAGACAAAATATAATGCAGACGGAAGCATAGAACGCCACAAAGCTCGGTTAGTGGCCAAAGGTTTCACTCAACTTGAAGGTATCGACTATTTTGATACCTTCAGTCCCGTTGCGAAAATGACAACTGTGAGACTTATCCTAGCTTTGGCTGCTTCTAATGGATGGATACTCGAACAGTTAGATGTTTCTAATGCCTTTTTGAATGGGGATCTTTCGGAGGAAATTTACATGGTGCTTCCTCCCGGATATGTTGAGCTTCAGGGGGAGCAAGTTCAACCTAATGATGTCTGTCGCTTACGAAAATCTATTTATGGCTTGAAACAAGCCTCAAGACAATGGAATTTAAAGATTTCTACCACTCTGCAGATCTCTGGATTTGTTCAGTCCAAATCCGATACTTCTCTGTTCATCAAGGCTGTTGGAAGCAGCGTTGTGATTATACTGCTCTATGTTGATGATTTTCTGTTGACAGGAAATAATGTTGCCCTTATTGCATAAACTAAATCTGCTCTACATGCCAATTTCACTGTTAAGGACCTTGGACCTCTGCACTATTTTCTGGGTATTGAGGTGGCTCGATCATCCAAAGGAATTCACATATGTCAGAGGAAATATGCACTTGAACTTTTGGAAGAATATGGCTTGCTCGGGTCAAAGCCTGTTTCTACACCAATGGATACTCGTGAGAAACTCTGTCAAGAATCTGGTGAGCCACTTTCTGACAGCTCTTACTATCGTCAGCTTATTGGCAAGCTTATTTATCTCTCTCTCACGAGGCCAGACATCTCCTTTGCGGTTCACAAGTTGAGCCAATACATGTCACATCCCAGAACAAGTCATCTCAAAGCTGCTTACAGAGTCCTTCGATATCTCAAAATGGCTCCTGCTCAAGGTCTACTCTACTCCTCTGATTCAGACTCCAAACTCAGTGCTTATTCAGACTCGGATTGGGCTTCATGCCCTGACTCCCGAAGGTCTGTCACAGGTTATTGTATCTTCTTGGGCAGCTCACTTATCTCTTGGCGTGCGAAGAAGCAGGCGACTGTCTCCAGGAGTAGCGCTGAATCAGAATTCCGTGCTCTTGCTCATACTACATCTGAACTGGTTTGGTTGTCTCATCTTCTCAAAGATCTGTGCATCCCCTGCATCAAGCCTCTTACCATTTTCTGCGATAATCAGTCAGCATTGCATATTGCAAGCAATGTCGTTTATCACGAGAGAACCAAACATATTGAGCTAGATTGTTATTTCATTCGGGACCATATCAACTCTAGCTTGATCAAAGCGATGCCTGTGTCATCAAAGGAACAAGCAGCTGATCTGTTAACAAAGCCATTACCATCTGATCAGTTCATTTATCTGTTGTCCAAGATGGGAGTACATGATTTGTACTCTCCATCTTGAGGGGAGTATTAAATGATATTGCAGACATGGAAACAAGGGCATGAACCTCTGCACATTGGATCGAGTAATTACAGACAAAGCACTTGATGAGATTAGTACAAATGTTGGAGCAATTCTTTATTCCTTTGTAGGTTTGTTATTGGCAGAATAGCATAGGCTCTGTAAGTAGCCTTTTTCGTTTCCGTTTCATACATTTGTATATAAAAAAGAGCCTCATGTACAGAAGGAAATATACAAGGAGAAAATTTCTAAAATCTCTCTGCTCTCATCTTCTTCCTCTGTCCTTCGTGAGTTCTTCAATGGTGAGCAAACTGAGTTTTCTTCAACACCAAAAGTGGTACGTCAGATCCGAATTTTGTGAGCATTGCAAGATGGTGATAACATTAATTAATGATTATAAGGTTAAACCAATAACACTCTACGTCGCGCAGTTATTTTGTTCGGCGTCAGTGCCATATTAACATGTATAATTAATGTTTATATATTTATACGTATATACATATAAGGCACAACATTGAACATTCTAAACCGAAGAAATGATTAGTAGTTAATTATTTTTGTTAAAACTTATAATTATGTTTATACTCCTTGGGGTTGTTGACAATCGATCGAAGGGTTAACCTTGGCCTTCTTACTAAAACTTTTCATTATTGTAAATACATATATTTACACAATATAGATGGGTGTTTCTTTTTAAATTTCGGCAAGAATAAAAGTCGCTATATCTATTATCTACTATCCGAGGTCTAATGTTGTCATAAATTAAAACGTTTGTATACAATTAATTACAATTATAAAAAAGAGTGTATATGAATTTTTCGGATATGTGAAACCAATTGAATAAAAACATCATCTCATTATGGGTATAATCTGAGAATTATACAATTTAATTAAACTAAAAAAAATATAATATTCCACAACAAGTATGCAAATTGGAATTTATAATAAACAAGGAATTTGGAACTGAACTTAAGACGCAAGGGTTTGGGAAGCAACTGTCTTACTTAAACTATGAGACAGTCATTACAATAATAATAAAATAAAAAAGCCCGCATAATTGCAATATATAGAAAGTGACCCTAAGCCGCCATTGACGTAGTTTTATATCCTCAAAGCACGAACGTGGTTAATATTTAATAAGTTTTCCAACGACAATGTGCTTTTGAATTTTACATACATATATACATATATATATATATACATATATATTTCTGCATGGATTGGATATGCTACTTGCTTACAAAATATATCCAGTGAATAAGATATCAAATAGAACGATATATCTTTTCTTTTGCATATATTGTTAGCGTGTTAATATAAATTATGAGAGATCAATGATATATATATATATATATACACACACACGAATATAAACATAAAAAAACGTAGATTTAAAAAATAGTTGTAATATTTTATATATGTAATTGGTGGTGTATATATATATAATGTTTATATGAGAGATAAAGAAATTAAGAAGAAAGAGCGGGAGGTAGAGACGGTTTCTTCCAAGGATGGAATGTTGTCCCAATGGCTTCGTTTGTTTGGTAGGAATTTCTAAACCATTTATAGTTTTTATTTTTATTTTCTTAATCTAAAATGAATCCCACATTAGTTTCCGAGTAACTTACGTCCTCGAACCAAATTTACACACGCAAATCACACGTGTGTATATATACACACATACACATGCATACACGCACGCATGTACATGTGAAACCGTATGCTTTGTGTGCTATACTATACACACACGTATATAACATAGACATTTCCATTGATAATTGAGAAGGATTTTTTTTTTCATTTTTCAATATTAATTATTACAGTCTTTATTTCCAAGTTTACTCCTAATAAAGAAGTTAATATTGTTATAATTCAAATAATAAAAAAAAGCGATTTAAACAATATTAAATCAATACAACATTGTAAAAAAAATCTTTTAATTTACGTGACAATTTTATTTATTATTGCAGTGCAACGCACACATAAAGCATAATGAAATGGTAGTAGACACACACTACACACATATATATATATATATATATATATATATATATAT